TGAATATTAAAAAAAAAAGACCTGAAACAGAGAAAATTGGTCTGTTAGTAATGAATAATTTTCTAACTTGGGGATTAACAGCAGTCATACTATAGTTGTACCTTACCCTCTCCTGAAAATAGACTTCTCTTAACGTATCTGCCTGGGACCCAGTCAATGGTTAGGAATATACCTCTGAATATAATCATCCAGAAGGAACATCACGATATGGGTAAGAAGTCCTTGCCCCTCAGTATAATTCTTCAGGGGAAAAAATGGACATTTAATGAAAGAGAGGACTTTCAAGTATCTCTGATGAAAGGCCAGAGCAATCACAAGACTCAGGAGAAGCATAAGAAGACAAACATGAAAGAGTAATCATAAGGGACTCGATAAAGTTAAACTGTTTACATTCCTATAAGGGAAGATAATACATGTAATTCTTAAGAATTTTATCATTATTAGGGTAGTTAGAAAGAATCTACATAGACAAAGGGCACAGATATAAGTTGATTATATTGCAGGGCTCTCAAGAAAATGAAGGGGTGAGAAAGAGGGAGGCACTGAGAGAAGGAGGAAGGAAGAGGTAGAATGGAGCAAAATTGTCTCACATAAAAGGGGCACCCAGAGAAGAGCTTTTATAGCGGCAGGGGAAATGGGGGGGAAGGGGTTTGGTAAGCAAGGCTTGAACCTCACTCTCATCGGAACTGGTTCAAAGAGAGAAGAATACACACACACACACGTATATATATATATATATATATATATGTATATATATGTATATATGTATTATATATACATATATAATACATATATACATATATTATATATATACATAAATACATATATTATATATATACATACATACACATATATATATATACACACACACACACACACCCCCTCAGTGAAGTATAGAAATCTACCTTATCTAACAGAGAAATAAGAGAAAAGGGTGATAAAAGATATGGTGTTGGGGGGGAAAGCGGGTTGATAAAAGGGAGGGAAGATAAAGGGAGGGAGTGGTCTCAAGCAAAACAGACTTTTGAGGAGGGTCAGCATAAAAAGGAAGAAGGATAAACAGAAGAAAATAGAATGGAGGGAAATACACAGCTAATAATCATAACTGTGAATGGGATGAGATCATCCAAAAAAGTGGATAGCAGAACAGATAAGAAACCAGAATCTAAAAATATGCTGTTTACAAGAGAAACATCTGAAACAGAAAGACATACACAGAGTTAAAATAAGGGGCTAGAGCATAGTCTACCATGTTTCTGCTGAAGCAAAACGGTAGGGGTAGCATTCATGATCTTAGACAAAGCAAAAGCAAAAACAGCCCTAATTGAAAGAAATAATCAGGGAAACTACATTTTGCTAAAAGGTACAATAGATAATGAAGTAATATCAAAAATTGTGTAGTAAGTTTCTCTGATAAAGGCCTCATTTCTCAAATATATAGAGGATTGAGTCTAATTAATAAAGGCCATTCTCCAATTGGTAAATGTTCAAGGGATATAAATAGTCAATTTTCTGAAGAAGAAATCAAATCTATCTAAAGTCATATGAAAAAATGCTCTAAATCACTATTAATTGGGCAGCTAGGTGGCACAGTGGATAGAATGCTGGGCCTGGAGTCAGGAAGATTCAAATTCCAAAGTTCAAATATGGCCTCAGACACTTACTAGCTGTGTGACCATCAGCAAGCAAGTCACTTAACCCTGTTTGCCTCAGTTTCCTCATCTGTAAAGTGAGTAATAGAAGGAAATGGCAAACCACTCCAGTCTCTTTGCCAAGAAAACCCCCAATGGGGTCATGAAGAGTAGGACATGACTGAAACAACTCAACAGCAACAAATCACTATTGATTAGAGAAAGGTAAATTAAAACAACTCTGAGATACAACCTCAAACCCATCTGAAATGACTAATGCTAGAGGGGTTAAGGGAAAATAGGTACATTAATGAACTGCTGGTATAGTAGTGAACTAGTCCAACCATCTTGGAGAACAATCTGGAACTATGCCCAAAGGGCTATAAAACTGTGCATACTCTTTGATCCAGCAATATCAGTAGTAGGTCTATATCCCAAAGAGATCAAAGGAAAAGGAAAAGGACCTACCTGTACAAAAATATCTATAGCAGCTCTTTTTGTGGCAGCAAAGAACTGGAAATTGAGGGAATGCCCAACAATTGGGGAATGAATGAACAAGCTATGACACATGAGTGTGATAAAGTACTATTTTGCTATAAGAAAGGACGAGGGAGGTGGTTTCAGAAAAACATGGCAAGACTTATATGAACTGATGCAAAGTGAAGTGAGAAGAACCAGGAGATCATTGTGCACAGTAACAGCAATGCTGTAATGATGATTAACTGTGATGAACTTGGCTACTCTGATCAATATAACAATCCAAGACAATTCCAAAGGACTCATCATAAAAAAAAAATGCTATCCACCTCCAGAGAATTGATGAATTGATGAGTACAAATTGAAGTATAATTTTTCACTTCTTTTTTGTTTTGTTTTGTTTTGCAGTATGGCTAATATGGAAACATGTTTTGTAGGATTCCACATGTATTAACTGATATGTTTCTTGCCCTTTCAGTGGGTAGGCAAGGGGTAGGAGGAAGGCATTCAATCTAGAACTCAAAATTTAAAAAGCAAAGAATGTTAAAAAAAAAACAAATAAATAATAAATTTTAAAAATTTAAATATAAAACACAAAAAAATTCCTTGCCTTTTACTTCATTAATCATATTTATAAATAAAAGAAGAAAACTCCTAAGCCTAAAACAAAGAGATGGTGTATACTTCTACACTACTTTAAAAATGACACCACTATAGATAAACATTTGCTATTTATTAAAAATGTACTATCTAAAAAACTGTAGGAACCAATGTACCTATGAAATCCTCTTTCAATCCTCATATATGCAACTTTATTTCCCTTTGAAAATTTACTACATGCCACTTTGTTAGTTAAAGCCAGCTTTCAAACACATGGTAGTTTAAGTTGACAGAGAAAGAGATGGGCAATTTCAAAAACTGACCACCTCCACCAGTCCTTTAAACTACAAATGAATATTATACACAGGTTCTCTGCTAAAAGCAAACTTGAGCTGCACCTGTCTAATTTTTATGCTGTAAAGCAAAGCTGTACATCACTCTCAGGCTTCCAATGTGAGAATGTGAAAAGGACCTCACGTCAAACACTCACTGGTTCTCCAATCAGGGCAACCCGAGACTTGGGCATTCCATTCATTTTCTACCTCAATTCTCAATGATAAGACCAAAGCAGGGGCTGCTTTTAGTTCCCACAAAGAACAATGCTATTTTCATTCCAGAAAGACTGGCTGAAGTAGAGCATGAGATAACCTTACTCTACACATACTGATACTAATTAATTCTAGCTAATTTAAAAATCTAACTAATTAATACTAATTAAACCTGCCTGAATTCATAGCCGGACTTTGATACAAGAGCTCCCTTTACATCACTAGCACAAAATTCAAGGACAGAAACAGCCACAACTGAGGGGCACCAGTAGTGTGATGTAGTATAAAAAACAATGATTTTTAGTCAAAAGATCTGGATTAGAATCCCACTCCTGGTATTTCTAGCTGTGAAACCATGGCTAAGTCAAAATTCTCTGAGTTTCACTTTCCTCACATCTGTAAAATGGGGACAACAAGGTTGTTGTGAGGATGAGATGAGAAAATGAGTAATTTACAAACAGTAAAGTCTTTTACTACTACAGGATATTTCCAGTAGGAGTGAGGAGCACCGCTGTGTAGCTCTTGCCTTTGGGTAATGGTACTTTTAAAATCAACATGTATAAAGAAGAGCCCATGGTGTCTAAGACTGAGAATCACGGCACCCTTTGAAGATATCTGAAGCACCCATTTGGAAGCAACTGTTTCAAACCTTAGTGAGAGAGCTCCAAGTGCCCCCAAAGGCAGCTACTGGAAATTCAAGGGCTCTAAGGCAGAGGTGTCAAACACACGGCTGGGAGGACTCCCCACGGCACTCCTGAGTGTGGCATAAACCAGGTTTAAGATGGAATTGGGAAATATTTAACAAAGTAAATAAAAACACAAGAGAACATAAATAACGTCGATATGCAGTTTTCTAAGTCAATATACCACTGCAGGGATCCTCATATAGATTATATAAGGATATATATAGGATATATGTGTTGTATATATTATATGTTTTATATGAATATGTACATGTGTGTTTGTGTGTGTGTTCTAAGTCTAAGGATGAAAGAGAAGAATTATTAACCATAAATACAAGTTTCATCTGCAAGACTCAGTATTGTTTTCCATTAGAATGTAAATAAGTGCTGGCCCTTGTTTCTACTTGGGCCTGACATGACCGCTGTAAGGCAGGGCGTTTGCCCCTCTTTATTAACCTAATGCTACCCAATGGAGGAAAGACAATCAGGCAGAAGGATTAGCAGAAAAAAAGAGGCAGATGATGAAAGGGCACACGACCAAAATGAAACCTAATGCCAACCAAGGGGCCAGCTGATCCTACCAGGACTACAGCAGCGTCTGGTATTACAGGGCTCAATGGATTTCTCTGGTCATTTGGCTTAAATTTTGCTTTTCTAAAAAGCATTAGAATTTTACATAAGGAATTATGATTTTGTCATCATGGGAAATGCTCAGTGTGGGAAATCACAGAAGAGAAGCCCTAGAGAATTACCTGAGAAAAACACAGGTTAAGAAGGATCACACAGCTACTACATGTTAGAAGGGGGATTTGAACCTAGGTCTTCCTGACTATAAGTCCAGCATTCTATCTATTAAACCAGGCTGATGCTACAATTCATTACAGTAACAGATTTTACGACAGAAGAACAAATGATTGGGCAATTTGTCTCTCAGAAATATAAGGACTTAAGCCACTATCAGTCAGACTAGATCAACTTCATCTATTTTGTTTAGGCTGCTTTTAGCAACTTTATTAAATCTTAAGTGCCAGTCTTGCAAGTGTTTACAATATGTTAAATACCTTCTCTTTCCCAGTGTTGGATCTTTTCTTGGTCCCTTGTGGCACTGCCCAATACTTCTCGAGGTACAGGCTCCATCCGCGCATCTACCTTTTCTGGACAAGAGGACTGATGAAATCCTTCCATCGCCTTTTGGAAAAAGCAGTTCAGCTCCTCAAAATTAATGGCTCGTAGCTCTTCATAAAGTTCATCCTGTTGGGTTTCTTCCAGCTCATCCCAGAACTGTAGTAGATGGTCCTGCCCAGCCTCGGACAACCTACACTTGAGGTCATTCACATTCATAATGTTTCAGTTTCCAAGTCTCTTAATAAAAAGGCTGTAACAGCTATAATTGTAAGGATGAAAGAGAAGAATCATTAACAATAATTATACGCTTCATCTGCAAGATTCAGTGTTTTGCTCTACTGAAAATGTAAATAACTACTGTTTTGAAAAACACATTAAAGCCATTAGCTTCCTTCAGATGAGGGCTATAAAGGTCATAACTGTAAACTAACAACCTATAAGATAAAAGGAAAATAGTGAAAAAACATAGCATTCCCCAACGGATAAATGGTCAAAGGATATGAACAGTTTTCAAAAGAACTGCACACTACTACTAATAGTTATTTTTAGGAATGTTCCAAATCACTAATAATAAAAGAAATGCAAACCTAAATAATCTTGAGGTTCACCGCATGCTCTGCGAACTGGCAAAGATGACAAATGATGAGAATCACCAACGCTGGAAGAATACTAGAAAGACAGGCACATGGGTATTATTGGGGGAACAGTGAATCAGTATGGTCATTTTGGAAAGCAGTTTAGAATTATGCAAGTAAAGTAAATAAAATGTCCATACCCTTTAACCCAGAGGTTCGGCTATTAGGCCTAAAAGCCATGGAGGCCACTGACAGGAACAAAGGCCCCATTTACACCAAAATATATTTTAGCTGCACTTCTTGTGTTAGCAATAGAATTGGAAACAAAGTAGATGCCCATAGAAACGTCTCTTCTACTTAATACTTGTATGACCTTTAAGCAGGTCACTTTGATTACCTAGAATTAGCAGAGTGAGCTAAATCGGGGTTTCATGGATAGATTTCAAGGGGGAAAAGGACTGCGAACTTGGGTAGGAAAAAATCACAGCTTTATTTTCACTAACCTCACTAATTTCCTTCAATATGAATGCAGTGACTGAAAAATCACCAAAGTTCCCAGCAAACACATAAGGAAACATCCCTCCCTCCAGAGGGTCAGGAAGCTACTAAGGCAGTATCCTGCATATGTGGCCAGAGGCAGTCACTGAATTGGATATCAGTGCTTAACGGCTTTCAAAGGATTCAATGGGGAAGGCGGAGATTCCCTAACCCCATAAATGACAGTGATATAAAAACAAAAGGCATCAATAAGGAGGATCACAAAACAAAATGGCGTTGATTAGCAAAATCAAGAGGCCCAAAGCAAGGAAATGTATGCTTACCATTATCAGTACTGAATGTGTTCCCAACTGATAATAAACTAAGATTCTTGACAGATACGAAAAAATGAAAATGACTTGCGATAAACTCTAACCTCAACACCTGAAGTGCCCAGGGAAGGCTGAATGGAAGGGCTGTGCCTGGAAGGAAAATAAGCCCTCTGAGAGATAGTGGTGAGAAGGGCCTTTAGGCCAGGCCTTAGGGAAAGCTTCTAACAAGGCACAGGGCTTCTGGGAATATGGAGCAGTCCACTTACAGTGGGGAGGAGCCAGAATGTGGATGGCTTCCAGTGCCAGGTTAAGGGGCTTGGATTCCGTGTTTCAGACCTGTGTCTTAAGAAGATTCTTTTACTGGCTGTGAAGGGCAGATCAGATAAAAGAGAGGCTAGAAATAAGGAGTAACAGGAAGGGGATAGAGGCAATGAGGATCTGATCTAGGATCAGGCCTGCGTGAAGGAAAAGAAGGGATCTTAGGGTCATAGATCTAGCAGTAGAAGGCATATGGGGCCAATGAGTCTAACTCTCCCATTTTAGCAAGATAAGAAAACTGAGGCACAGAGAGGTTAAATGACTTGCCCCGAGTCGCACAGAATGTAAATGCCTGAATCGTCAGGATTCAAACCAAGGTCCACCTGCTACCAAGTTCAGAGTGCTCTTCCCTATCTAATCCTGTCTCTCTGCAAGAGGTAATGAGGTAGAATCAACAAGACTTTGGGAGTGATTCTCATTGCCTGAGAAAAGAATGAAGCTTTAAGCTCTTTTCCAGAGAACTGAGTCTTTTCTGGGTGTCATTTATACTTCTGTATCCATAATAAGTGAGTAAACATAAAACAAAACCTTGTTCAAAAAAGTAACTTTTAAAAGGCACCATTTTTCACCTGAAGCATATGAATTAGATAACTAAAAAGAAAACATTACAAAGAAATCACAAAGAAAAATATTATTTTTATCATAAAAATTAATTACCAAAGTACACCATGGATGGCCTGTGAAAGTTCCCAAGGTTATGTGAGTTGATCCCTTGCACGTGTTCATACTATGCCTTGCTTTGTTTAACACAGACTACTTGGGGGTGGGGGTGAGGGTGTTAAACCTCCACTGAAGTCCTACTCTGACCTGGATGGAGGGTAAAACACCTAAGAGGAAGAAAGGAAGAAGAAAGACATCTGAAAACTTGGAACTAAGAAACAAATGGGAGGCTCTTCCCAAGGAGCAGAGAGCTCCAAGCAGCTGTTTATTCTGCCAGCAGCAATGCTGTGGCCACACAGCTGCTATCGGGGACAGATCACCCAGGAAGAGATAAGAGGAAGGGACTCCGGCTGAAGGGTGCTGAAGTGAAGCAGGTCTCCGCTCTCCACGGGGAAACAGACTTCCTTCCCTGTCCTCCAGACATGCCCACCCAGACATCACATGCTCACTTCTGTTACCCTTGATGGAGGACATAAGATCTGTGACTAGAATACAGCTCTGGAAGAATTTACCTAATTCAAAGCAAACAGGATAGATTTTTTTTTAAGGGGATGGGGTTTAAGGTAACCTTATGTAGTAAAAGACATACTCGTGAAAAAATCCTAAAATAAGAGGGAACAAAGATGGAGAAGGTACCTGGATGAAGATCAGGAAAAATAGGAAAAATAAAGCAGTTTTATCAGCAGAGAGTACTACAGAGATCACCAGGTCAGAAGGAGGAAATAGATGAAGAAATAGGAGAACAAATCACAAGTTCTGGCCCAGAGATATGATACAGGAATAAGGAGAGATTCCAATTATTTTTTAATTAAATTAATTTTTTTTCAATTAACAAAATGCATTTTCTCTTCTCCCTCCACCTCTACCCCCAATGGGGAAAAAAAAAGCAAAGAGAAAACTCTTCTTGCAAATATATAAAATTAAGAAAAATAAGTTTTTACATTAGCCACAACCAAAAATATGTCTCATTTTGCATGTTGCACCCATCATCTTCTTATCAGGAGGTGGACAGACTGCTGCAGTATTGATCTGGATTTATGGCTGGTGAGTGCACTGATCAGAGTTAAGTCTTTCAAAACTTTGTCTTTATAGCGTTGTTGTTATTATATAAATGGTTCTGGTTCTGTTCACTCTGCATTCCTTCATATATGTCTTCCTAGGTTCCTCTGGAATTGTTCATTTTCTATGGCCTAATAGTACTTTATTACATTCACATACCATATTTGGTTCAGCCATTCCCCAATTCATGGGCACTCCCTTCCTTTCTAGTTCTCTGATGCAACAAAAAAGATCTGCTCTAAATATTTCTGACCACATAGGTAAGAGATGGCAATCATCTGGACCTCTACAGTAGCTCTTTCTCTGCTGAAAGCAGAAAGTTGGTGGACTTGACTTGAAGATAATTTCCTCCTTCAAAAGATGGAGGAATATCCAAAAGGAAATTATGTTTTGGCTCTAATTCTTAAAACGAAGAAGAACAGGCTGTTTGCATGTAAATGATGGAAACCTTTGTGGATATGGCCCTTCTTACATCTTATAATTTTTAACAGAAGACAGGAAAGCCAAGCGTAATTGACATGCACCCTGGATTTTGAAAATTTCAAAGGATTCTGAAGAAGAATAGGTGTTCCTATACTAGAATTCCAAATGGAGTCCAGACGGGATGAGAAGCTCTCAAGAATGAAAATCTGAAGATACAAAGAAGAAACAGTTCCTAAAGATTTATATGGATGCAAAAGGTATCCAACAGCCATGTCAAAATTTTAACAAGGGATGTGGAGAAGCTGGAAACAAGAATAATTATAATGGATGACGAATACAAAGCATGGCTCAGTCACATGAGAAAGTGTCCAGAGTGCTAAAGCTGAGAATAAGGTGAGGCTGGTGAGGAAAGGTAAGGATGACAAGAAAAGTTGTTTTAAGTTAAAACAAGGCAAAGAGATGGATCAGGAAAAGGATAGGATGATGACTGATAAGAGAAAGAAAAACTGATCAATTTGTATTTTATTTCTGCTTTCTCTGCCAAGATGATCTCTGAACTGGAAAGAACAGAAGAAAAATGAATAACAGAGCTAGCATCTAAGATAAGTAAAAAGACAGTAAGAACATCTAGTTATCTATGATGAATTCAAGTCACTCAGCACAGAGAAGGCAGGGTGGTAAACGGGACACTGTGCAGACTTTGAGGCCAAAAGATCTGTGTTTAAATTATTCCTGGCCACTTAATATGTGAAACCTTCGGAAAACTACTGACTTTTTATGGGCCTCACTGTCTTCACCCTAAAACTCAATGACCTCTAAGTCCTCTTTCAGCTCTGAATCTATGGTCCAATGATTTGTTACATTATAAATTACTTAAAAGAACAAGCAGAATGGATTACCAAGTCATTACTAGCTATCTGTGAAAGATGGTAGGTAAGAGAAGTACCACAAAACTGGAAACAGGCAAATGTCACGATTTTTTCAAAAACTAGGAGGATGGAGCGTGCACACTAAAACTTCTGGCAACTTTTTCAAACATACTATTAAAGTATGGTACAGACATCTAGAAAAGGTAATGATGGCAAAAATCCAATACCACTGCTAGGTCTGCATCCCAAAGGGGGTAGTCAACAGTGCTAAATACTGCAAAAAAGTCAAGGATGTGGGATGACAAAAGGTCATAGGATTAAAGAGACCACTAGGAAACAGAAAGGAAAGCTTCAGTTGGGTGATAAGGTCAGATGCCAGACTGCCAGGAATTTAGGACTGAGTGGAAGGAAAAGAATTGGAAATCATAGGATAAAAATATGCAAAGCACTTTAAAGTACTAGATACATGTCATCATCCTCCTTGTGACTTTTTTGAGGAGTTTCATGAAAATGAAGAGTCTTTAGATGATGGATTGCGCAAGAATGTTATGAATGATTTTGAGATGAAGTATATTGACTGCTGCTATGCATATATAGTATTGTTAAAGATAACATACAAGTCTTAGGCTTTGAAGAAGTTGACAAACAGAAGTCAGAGGCATCTGAAGGGCCATTAATAGATATATTGAAGTCCCCAACTAAGAGTCCCAGGGTAAGGGAGAAAGGCAAGATGAAGTGCCAGCTACCAAACTCCTTAAGAAAGAAAGGGAGAATTACCCAAGGTCCCAAAGAAAACTATAAACAGGATCTAGATGGAGTGAACCTCAACTATAAGTCAAAATAAGCAGAGGTAGTCTGTCTAGATATAAGAAGGATGATACTCCTGGCCCTGTCTTTTAGGAAGAGTTTAAGAAGAGCATGAGATAAGATGCTCCAAATAATGAAGACAATGGCCAATGATACAGTGTCTTTCATTGTGAGTCTGATTTCTGAAAGGTCAAGAAGATGAAAAGAAGGGGATCAGGGAAAATCCAAATGCAAGAGAAGCCCAGCATCCAGGAACAAGGAACGGACAGTCTTCACGTACTGTCACAGACAAAAAGTATGGCTTTTAGTCCTAGGTATATTTCAGAAAGGACACTGACAAATGGGGAGTGTTCAGGAGGAAAAATGGAGGATGGTTAAGGTCACTGAGTTCCTGCCATATGAGGCTCAGTTCAAAGAACACAGAAGGTTCAGCCTGAAGAAGAGATGACTTGGGGGTGGGGAGAGAAGAGGCATGGCTCTCTCTACGCAGTGAGATGGGGATTGGATTTGTTCTGGCCCAGCGGGCAACAGATACAAGTTGCAAAGAAGGAAATTTAGAATGGATATGAGGAAAAACTCACTAATAATCAGAACTGTCTGAAAATAGAATCAGCTGGTTTCAAAAATAGCAAGCTTCCCCCACTGAAGGTCTTCAAACAAAAGCTTATCAGAAAGGATTCTTATTCAGGTATTGTTTGATTTTCATCTCTGAAATTCTGGGATTCTGTGAAAGAAGATGCAGAAGGT